CCCCCCCCGCCCCCCCGGAGATCAGCGACGAGAAGCTTCTCGATTCCTGCTGGTCAACGGATAAAACCACCAGGTAATTCCTAGAATGTTTCCACTGTGCAAGCTCTGTAGGCCCCGCTTCCCCTTTACCGACCAATCCGCGAAAAGAGCGGCGCGGATGAGCGTTGCGATTGGTCGCGGCCGCTGTCAATCCGCCGGTGCGAGGCGGGACGCGAGGCGCGGGGCCCGGTTGCCATAGCGACGGGCCGTCCGGGCGCGGGTCCCCATGGCGGGCCGAGGATCCAGTGCCACCCCCAGGGACACCTCCCACCAGACCAGGTTGCTCCAAGCCCCCTCCAACCTGGCCTTGAACCCCTCCAGGGATGGGGCAGCCACAGCTTCTCTGGGCAACCTGGGCCAGGCTCTCACCACCCTCACACCAAAGAATTTCTCAGCAGACTTGCTGAGGGTGCACTCAGTCCCACTCTCCATGTCACCAACAAAGGTGTTAAACAGCACCAGTCCCAGTACCCACCCCTGAGGAACGCCACTGGTCACCACTTGGACGTCGAGCTGTTAAGTTCAACAATTTGAGTGCGGCCACCCAGCCAATTCACAGAATCACAGAATCTTCTAGGTTGGAAGGGACCTTAAAGATCATCTTGTCCAACCGTCAACCTGACTGACAAAAATAGACACCCACACAACAAACAAGGAGCATCATCACTAAACCATACCTCCCAGCACTACATCAACCCCTCTTTTGAACCCCTCCAGGGATGGTGCCTCCATGGGGCAGCCCATTCAAATGCCTGATAACCCTTTCGGGGAAAAAATTTTTCCTAATATCCAGCCTGAACCTCCCCTGGCGCAACTTGAGGCCATTTCCTCTCGTCCTGTCGCCTGGGACTTGAGAGAAGAGACCGACCCCCACCTCTCTACACCCTCCTTTCAGGGAGTTGGAGAGAGCAATAAGGTCTCCCCTCAGCCTCCTCTTCTCCAGGCTGAACATCCCCAGCTCCCTCAGCCTCTCCTCATAAGACTTATTCTCCAGACCCCTCACCATCTTTGTCGCCCTTCTCTGGACCTGCTCCAGCCCCTCGATGTCTTTTTTATGGTAGGGAGCCCAAAACTGGACACAGTATTCAAGGTGAGGCCTCACCAGTGCCGAGTACACCTTTATTATTCAAAGTGAAAAATCAGGGAATTTGCCCTTCCCCTGACCTGCATTTCCTCAGAGAGACGTGAACCCATGGGCCCTGCCTGGGTTTGCCTACTACAGTCCATCGTTCCCTTCCCTGACCGTAACAACACCAGTCTCCTGTCAGCAAGGTTAGGCAAACAGCCGCTGATAAAATGACTTCCAGGTTGCTTTTTCCAAGGCCGCTGAACGCAGGGCGCAGACGAGTGCCCTCTCTGTGTGTGTGTGTGTGTGTGTGAACCCTCTGGCAGTGACACCTGCCCGATGACAGCGCGGGGGCCTTGGTGCCATGGTACAGGCCGGGTTAATGACTTTGTTTATACTGTTTGGGTAATCCTGATAAGGCTGCCCAACCCGCTGTCCCCCCTCCCCGCGCCACCGGCGCTTCATTGAGAAAACGGCCGTTGACGCCACGCGGAGAACTCTTTGGCCCCAGCCAATCAGTCCCAGGACGCCTGCTTTGGTGTTTTTTTTTTTTCTTTTATAATGAGGACCGCTTAATCACAGAGCGGTCAAGGCTGTGGAGGGGTGTTTCACTGGTGGCCCAGCTTTATAAGAGCTGGTTTGAGCAGCTGTGGGCTGGCAGAGCTGAGAGGACAAGGAGAATCCAGCTTGCGCCGGAGGCTTTGGGAGGGTTTTTTACATCTCTCAACTGTAGCAGGAGCTGAGTTTTGCCGTGGATCCGGCAACCCGGCTCAGTTATGACCACCAGTGGCATGGACATGGACTGTGAGAGGTGCCAGTGCCACAGGGAAGACAAACAGACCGCCATCCTCTACACCCTCCTCAGCCAGAACCTCAACCACAGCCGGGGTGGCCGCAGCCCAGCCCAGCAGCGCTGCCTCTGCCACCAGCGCCGCACCGTCTGCCTCCGCACACCCCAGCTCACCTGCCGGGCGGCCTCCGACGTGCTGGTAAAAACCATCAACTTTGTGAAAAGCCTCCATTCCTTCTACCTGCTGCCTCGAGAGGATCAACTCCTGCTGCTGGACAGCTGCTGGGTTCCCCTCTTCCTCCTGGGGCTGGCCCAGGAAATGGTGACCTTCGAGGTGATGGAGACCCCAGCCCCCAGCATGCTCAAGAAGATCCTCCTCGATGGCCAAAGCAATGGGCTGGAGCCTGAGAGGACGCAGCCCACGCTGGCTGCTGTGCAGCGGCTGCAGTGCTGCCTGAACACCTTTTGGAGCCTGGATCTGAGCCCCAATGAATACGCCTACTTGAGGGGAGCCATTCTCTTCAATCCTGGTGAGTGCAGCACCTGAACACGTGCCTCTTAGCTCAGAGACATTCAGAGCACAGGCAGGTATGAGAGCAGGGCAGGCTGATCACCTTATCCTTAATGCTGAGGGTTACTAAATGCCCCAGGAAGCAGGGAGGAGGGATGTTAAATCGTAGTGGTAAAAGCCAGAGACCTTTGCCTGCCCTGCAGACAATAAAGAATCCCGGGATTTGCTTTGTAAAGGATTTGTTTGCCCAGTTAACTATTATTCCTCTCTCAAACGGCAGCCCTGGAATAGCTATGTCTCGGTAGTGCTGCGTGTATCTCGTTGATGTTAAATCGTAGTGGTAAAAGCCAGAGACCTTTGCCTGCCCTGCAGACAATAAAGAATCCCGGGATTTGCTTTGTAAAGGATTTGTTTGCCCAGTTAACTATTATTCCTCTCTCAAACGGCAGCCCTGGAATAGCTACATCTCAGTAGTGCTGCGTGTATCTCATCAGCGTGGCCTCAGAGATCCCTTCTGAGAAATGGGGAAGGATGGGAAGGGGAGAAACCTGGGGCTGTTTTCCAGCCTCTCTCATCACCGCCTTTTCCTCCTCTCCTTCGGCAGACATCCCCGGGCTGAGGGCCTTCCTGTACATCAAGAGCCTCCAGCGGGAAGCCCAGAGAGCTCTTGAGGAGGTCCTTCAACCCTTGCACCCCGTGGACCAGGGCCGCTTTGCCCACATTTTGCTCATCTCCTCCACCTTAAAATCGATCCCTCCTTCCCTCGTCACGGATCTCTTCTTCCGACCCATCATCGGCGACGCAGACATCATGGAGCTCATCGCGGAAATGCTGGAGGAGATAACCAGCAGGCAGCTGGCTCCAGTGGCACGTGTGGCCTGCTGAGCAGCCACGCTGGGCCACCAGCCCCCTGGGTGCTCCTCACGCTTTGCCGGGGCAGCAGAGCAAATCTGGGAGCAGGGATTTAGCCAGACAGACGCTCTGGACTCGGCGGGGAACTGCACAATTCAGCCAGGAGAAAGGGCTCTGGTTCAGCAGATGTTTACAGCAGCTCCTGCTCCTCCTGTGCCGGTCTCCATTTCAGGGAGCCCATATGTGGGTTTTTCTTTCCCTGTTCTGGGGAAAATCTGAGGGATTTTCTTTCCCTGTTCACAGCCAGAGCGGCTCAGCCACCTGCAACCAGACCCCAGAGCAGGTCAGGTTAGAGCCCGGTCCTGGTTTTTACTCAATGAATCCTTGGTCCCATTTAAATCAACGTGCATTTTGCTGTTAACTCCAAGAGATGAGGTTTGTCCTCAGCTAACAGCTCGATTCCGCGGTGTTTTGGGCACGGCGAGTAGCCTGTCTTCAGCGGGATCGCTTTCCCGATGCCAACATTATGGAATTAGCTCCAGGTGAAGTCTTGCTCTTGTTCTATTGTGCTTGAAATCTCTAGAAATATTGATGAAGGATCTTCTTCAGGCACCAAGAGGGGAAAAAAACAGAGTATGAAATTTTACAGGGAGTGTGCAGATTCACCCCCCCCTACCTTTCCTCAGATTGTGTCTTTTCTCCGTAATGCCATGAAATACACCAACAGAACTGCTCACAGGGCAGAGCCCCTAAACCTCTCGCCCATCACCTTGGGCTGGGGGGCTCACCTCGTTTGTGCTACGATAATTAAAACCCTCGAGCTGTGAACGCTGTGGAAACAAGGCGTTTAAGTGGTAGAACCAAACGTGTCCCCCCCCTTCGAGTGACAGCCTGGAAAGCTGGCCCCTCCTGCCCACAGCTTCTGCAACAAGTTAAATGTCAGTATTTTCTAAGCCAATGTTCTTGTGGTTTGTATATAAGATGCAGTAAATTATTTTTTTAATAAACTGGTTTACATTTTGGAATGTGGTGGTGGCTTTTTGGAGGTGGTGGTAACTTGGGGAGGGGGGTTAGAAAAACCGGCTGCATGCCCGGGATGGGAAGGATGCTCAAAGGAAAAGGGGCTTTCCATAAAAATCTGCCTGCCTCACCACGGGGAGGGAGCATTGGGATGTCGGAGGTGTCTGATGAACAGCCCCACGGCACAAAACTACCCCCCTGGGGGGGGAAGGTTCTATCCAGCAGATAGAAATTTGCTGCTGCTGGATAGAAAACTCAAAAAGGTTCCACTCAAATATGAGGAGAAACTTCTTCATGGTGAGGGTGACGGAGCCCTGGAACAGGCTGCCCAGGGAGGTTGTGGAGTCCCCTTCCTTGGAGATTTTCAAGACCCGCCTGGATGCTCCTGAGTAACATGCTCTGACAAGCTCTAGGCAATCCTGCTTCAGCAGGGGAGTTGGACTAGATGATCTCTATGGTCCCTTCCAACTCTAAAAATTCAGTGAAATTCAGTGAAATTTCCAGAGGCAGCGGGATCACAGCCCCTCCTGGTGCCTTTCTCCGGGCGCTGAGCCTCGCCCCGGGGCAGTGTCAGGGGTGGGTGCTCTGATTCACCTGGACACGCACGGAGGAGCCACCGACAGGCACCGACAGCGTCCCGTTTGCCGTGCCCGACCCAGCCGAGGTGTGGGGTAAAGCTGCACGAAGCCTCCCCGTGCCCCCTCACCCTCCTACCCAGGGAAACGCCTCTGGAGAGGGTCCAGAGGAGGGCCATGAGGATGATCAGGGGGATGGAGCACCTCTGCTCCGAGGACAGGCTGAGGGAGCTGGGGTTGTTCAGCCTGGAGAAGAGGAGGCTCCGGGGAGACCTAATAGCAGCCTTCCAGTACCTGAGGGGAGCTACAGGAAGGCTGGGGAGAGCCTGTTTAGAAAGGCCTGCAGGGACAGGACGAGGGGCAATGGCTTCAAGCTGGAGGGGAACAGATTTAGACTGGAGATGAGGAGAGGGTTCTTCACCGTGAGGGTGGTGGAGCACTGGAACAGGTTGCCCAGGGAGGGGGTTGAGGCCCCTTCCCTGGAGATATTCAAGGAGAGGCTCGACGAGGCCCTGGGCAACCTGGTCTAGTTGGGGGGGTCCCTGCTGACTGCGGGGGGGGCGGACTAGATGACCTTTGGAGGGCCCTTCCGGCCTGGGCAATTCTATGACTCTATGATTCTATGAATTTTAGCCAGCAGCACGGCGGGGAGCAAGGACTGCTTCGTCAGTCTATCCTTCCGCCTCTCACCGGAGCCACCGAACGGTGAGAGGCGGCTTTCTGGGGTGATCTCAGCCCCGTGACAGCCGTTTTCCACGGGGAGGGAGCGCCTTGAGTCACGGGATGATTTCCACAGGCCCCACGGGCAGCCCCGAGCCGCGCAGCGCGGTGACGCACACCTGAGTCACAGCACACGGGGTGCCAAACAGCCCCGCTGCCGGAGTTACCCCCTCGTCTCCAACCTGCCCCAACTCCCACCAGCCCCTGGGGACACTGTGGGCTCCCCTGGCCACCATGGCACCCTGTGGCACTGGCTGTGGTCACTGCTGTGACTGGTTTGTCACCTCAGGGCCACCCCTCCAGGGTGGGACACACAGCACTGGGACCTTACCACGAGGGCAAGGCCAGGACCCCTCACACAGGGCAGCACTGAACAGCACGGAGAGGGGGTCCCTGGACACCCCCAGTGCCCTGAGACTGCCCCAGGGCCTGTGACCTGGCTGTCCCCAAGGCTTGTGAGCTCCATTGGGCCTGGCCACCTCCAGGGCTTGTCACCTCCACTGGGACCTGGCCACTCCCAAGGCCTGTCACCTCTACTGGGGCCTGGCCACTCCTAAGACCTGTCACCTCTACTGGGGACTGGCCACCCCCAGGGCCTGTCACCTCCATTGTGGCCTGTCACCTCCATTGGGACCTGGCCACTCCCAAGGCCTGTGACCTCCATCAAGGCCCGGCCACCCCCAGGGCCTGTCACCTCCACTGTGGCCTGGCCACCTCCAGGGCCTGTCACCTCCATTGGAGCCTGGCCATTCCCAAGACCTGTGACCTCCATTGGGCCTGGCCACCCCCAGGGCCTGTCACCTCCATCAGGGCCTGGCCATCCCTACGGCCTGTGACCCCCCCGGGGCCTGGCCACCTCCATCCCCTCCCGGGCTCCCGCCCGCCACCAGGCGGCGCCCACTCCCCGCGTCGGCAGCTGACGTCATCACGGCGCGCCCGCGCTGCCCCGCTGAGGCAAGATGGCGGCGCCCAGCTGTAGCGCCGATAATGGCGGCGCCGCCGCCGCCGCTCGTTACTGCCTGGTGAGCGGTATCCCGGCCGCCCTGCGCTCCGCACAGCTCCGCGCCTACTTCAGCCAGTTCCTAGAAGCCGGCGGCTTCCTCTGCTTCCACTACCGCCACCGCCCCGAGCGCCCGCCGGTGGGCGGCGGGGAGGAGGAGGCCGCGGCGCCTCGTACTTGTTCCTGCCTGGTGGCCGTGAAGCCCGGCCGCGCCCGCCGCTTCGTCCGTATGTACTCGGGCAAACGCTGGGTCGGGCCCGGCGGCGCCTCGCTGCCCGGCCGCTGCTTCATCCGCAGAGTTCGCCTCAGCCGCGGGACAGGTACGAGCGGGCACCGGGGGGTCCAGGCCCGGCCTCCCCTGACAGGCCTGGAAGGGTTCGGAGGACGCTTTGGGCACCGGATCCCAGTCCTGCGGGTCCCAGCAGGAAGCCTGAGGGCACCGGGTGGTTAAAACCCCTCACGGGATTTACTTAGTGCCTTAAATCCATACCCCTCTATTCCGCTGTGATGAGATCCCTTTTTAGTGGTTTCCTTCAGCTGAGAGGCCACCAATATCAGAAGGACAGGGCCCTGTCGGAGCGGGGCCAGAGGAGGCCACCGAGATGCTGGGAGGGCTGGAGCCCCTCTGCTGGGGTGGGGGGCTGAGAGAGTTGGGGGGGTTCAGCCTGGAGAAGAGAAGGCTCCGGGGAGACCTTAGAGCCCCTTCCAGTCCCTCAAGGGGCTCCAGGAAAGGTGGGGAGGGACTCTGGATCAGGGAGGGGAGCCATAGGATGAGGGGGAACAGTTTTAAACTGAAAGAGGGGAGATGGAGCTGAGATCTGGGGAAGAAACTCTTTGCTGTGAGGGTGGGGAGAGCCTGGCCCAGGTTGCCCAGAGAAGCTGTGGCTGGCCCATCCCTGGAAACATTCAGGGTCGGGTTGGAGGGGACTTTGAGTAACCAGGTCTAGTTGAAAATGTTTGTGCTTATTGCAGAGGTGGTTGGACTAGATGGCCTTTGAAGGCCCCTTCCAACCCAAACTTATTGCAGAGGTGGTTGGACTAGATGGCCTTTAAAGGTCCCTTCCAACGCAAACCATACTATGGTTCTATAAGAGTGGGTTTGGGGCCTGGTCGTCCCCCTCCTGTCTGGGAGGGCCCTAATTTACCCCTCTCTCTTTGAGCGTGTGTTCCCCTACAAAACTATTCCTTCTCTCCTCCAGGCACGGAGACGCTTCCCTGCAGCGAGGACAAGACGGCCGCAGGCGAATCCGTCACGGAATCAGACCTGAAGCGGCTGCCCGAGTTCAACCCCCCTTCCTTCATGCCTTACGGGAACGTGGGCACCCCCCTGAAAGTTTTTTTGGAGCTGATCCGGGCCTGCAGGCTGCCTCCCCGGATTATCAAGAAATTGCAGCTGGATTTTCCAAAGACAGGCTCATCCCGTAGGTATGGGAATGTACCTTTTGAATACCAGGACACTGAGACAGTTATAGAAGAAGAAAGAGTTTACACTGCTACGGGGGATGAGATCACAGAGGAAGAGGGGCCTGTGGCAACATCTCAGGTGACTCACCCAGCCAGCGCTGAGGAAGATGAGGAGGGGCAGGAGAAGGAGGCAGAGGAGTCACATTCGGATGATGTAAGTAGATTTTTCTAGCACCATCCAAGCTTAGCTATTGTAGTTGTGAAGCTGGGAGAGCCGATATAATTCACTTAGAGCTTATTTTTAATCTTTTAATTGTATTGCATTAATTGCTTGCGTAAAATTGGTGTTAAAATATGCTCGTTAATGGCTTTGTGCACTGAGCCTCTTGGCGCATGAAGAGTGTGGGCATTAATGCCTCCAAAACTGCTGGTCCAAATCAAGCTGGTTGTAGGGGCTCGAGCCCTAAGGGTTTGGTTGGGGTCAAAGCCAAAGGATTTGGTCCAGAGGGACGAGCACAGGCAGAGAGTGGTGCTCTGGGAGCAGATCTCTGCCCTGCTGCACAGCAGATTGGCCCAGCTCTGCTGTTGCTTGGAAATGAGGCGACCAGAGATTAAGGAGCAGTTTGTATGCTGGAGATGACAGGCAGATCTCTACGAATGGTTGACCTTGAATGCTCCAGCGATTGAAGTTAGTCATTCAGAGAAAAATGCCTTTCATGACAAAGACTTCTAGAAAACTGGGCTGGACAGGATCTCTGGAGACTATCTCGTTCCCTCCACCTGACAGACGCCTGTCTAGCCTGTTCTCACCATCCTCTGTCATTACAGAGGCAGCACAATCCCCAGGCAAGCCATTCCCGTTCTTTGCTCCACCAGAATGAACTTAGATGCCAAATCTTTGCTGCAATTTTAGCCCATTAGGCTCTCCTAGCAACAGCGGACACAGAGAAGGCTTTGTTCCCTCCTTGACAAACTTTTTATTCAGTCTTTTCTTCTCCAGACTAAACAGACTCCTCTAGCTGTTTCTCACAGGCTGTTTCCTGGATCTTTTTGGCTGTTCCTTAGTTGGTTAATGTCTTCCTTGGAGGGTGCTGCCCAGAACTGGGCAGGCAGCAGTAAAGCTGTCAGTCTGCTGTGTGTCTGTGCCAGCCAACTGCTTCACTGGAACCGCCACAATCTCTTTAGGGATCAACTGGAGTGGAATTAATTTGTTGCTGGTGCTGACTTTAGGTACAACACACCTGCTCCTTAAATGGGCATCTTTGCGTTGCAGATGCGGTACGCTGCTGCTGAAAGCATGCCGTGAAGTGGGTGTGATGTGGTATTTATTATTTTATTTATTATTTTTTTTTCACCACTTCTGTCTGCTGACTCTGGAGATGGCGTTAGTCAGGGGAATGAGGTCATCGGTGCCGGTCGTGTTGGTGCCTGAAAAAAAGCAGGTTGAGACGAGCCCTGTCGACAAAGCTGTTTCGGAGGGAGGGTGTTGGGATGGGATGGGACGTGAGGGTCAGGGAAATTGGGAGGAGGCCCTGCCTGCTTGGTGTCACCCCTTCCTTTGCAGGACGATGATACCTGTGAGGAGTGGGAGCGCCACGAGGCTCTGCACGAGGACGTGACCAAGCAGGACCGTGTGGAGGAGCGGCTCTTTGAAGAGGAGATTGAGCTGAAGTGGGAGAAAGGTGGCTCTGGCCTCGTCTTCTACACGGACGCTCAGTACTGGCAGGAGAAGAATGGAGGTAACGTTGATGTTTGTATCCCTGAGCCACAAAATTAACCACCACGAGCTGGGGGGCCCAGCCCTGCAGGTAAATCAGGTAGAACCCTGTACGAGTGTTCCAGATCAACCACAGATACAGGCATCTTGCCATCACTTCTTAAACCTTCCCTTGATCACAAAACCTGCAGTGGTTCAATCCAGTCGCCAGAGACCCCAGTGGTCCTGCTGGCAGCCTGTTGTGTGGTTTGCAGAGTCTTTAATACAGTTTCCTTCCCGTTTTATTAGAGAAAACAGAGAGCTGGGCCACCTGCAAACAGCTCTTCTGTGTCAAACTTCCACAACCATCACCAAAACCGGTGCTTTCCTTCTCTTGGCAGACTTTGATGAGCAGACTGCGGACGACTGGGACGTGGACATGAGCATCTACTATGACAGAGGTATCTGAGCTGAAACCCCCTCCAGGAAACTGGGGAGGTTGGGAAATTCTGACCCTGCAGAATTTCTGCAGATGGGGAACTCTTTGGCTCTCTCATCCTTTGAAAGCACCCGAGACGTCAGTGTGCTTTAAACGACGTTTTTCTTGTCTGGCAGAGAGAGTTGCCAAAAAGAAAACAGGTTCTGCCTCCTTGTTGCTTGGTGCTTTGGGGGAAATGATGGCAGTGAGCAGCTTTCCTGTGCTGCTCTGACTCTTGCTGCTTTCTCCTTAGATGGAGGTGATAAGGATGCTCGGGACTCAGTCCAGATGTGGCTGGAACAGCGACTCCGGGACGGATTGGAGGATGGATCTGTTTCAGGGCAACAGATTGGCACCTTTGAGAGATACACCAAGGTGAGCTCCATGCTCAGGAGGGGATGGGACAGGACTGGGAAGGCTGTGGTGGGGATGCTCAGGAGCTGTGGGTTGGGGGGAAGAGAGATCTTGGATGTGGGGAGGAGGCAGAGGGTTCTGGGAAGATGAGGATGGGCTTTGTCCAGCAACTCTGTGACCTTTTTTTGTCCCCTCTCCCAGGGCTTTGGCAGGAAGGTGCTGGAGAGGCAGGGCTGGATGGAGGGGCTGGGGCTGGGCAGCAGCAACTCTGGAATGGCCGAAGCTTTGGACAACGAGGGTCAGAACCCCAGATGCAAGAGGGGGCTGGGGTAAGTACCCAACCCTGCCCTTCCAACCTGCGCTCAGGGCCTCTGCCCAGGCTCTCTGTGCTGACTCAGCAGCTAACTGGCCACAAAAGGAGCAGGTTGTGAACTAGAACTGGAAGTCTGTCCCAGGGATCTGCCTTTCTTTGGGCACAGCCAGTGACAGGGCCTGTCACAGCACTCCAGAGCCAGAAACACTGCTTTTCCTGATGGTCTGGTGCTCTTTGGAGGAGCTTGTGGCGTTAAAGAGTGGGACTGGGACCATTTGCAGGTTCATGCAGTGAACAAACACAGAGGGAGAGCTGTGCTTGAGGGTTGAGGGTCAGCTCTGCCCTGGTATTCTGGTGGGGAAAGCTCAAGTGAGCCAAGCTGTGGCTGTGGACCTCACCCCTACCTTCTCTGGGGGGGTGTTTCTGGGGGCTTTGTGTGGTGCTGTGTTTCCCTGTGAGGAAACACAGCACCTGTGAGGTGTGTGGAGCCCACCTGTGAGAGGGCTGGCTCTTCTCACAGCCGGGAATAGGACAAGAATGCTTCTTGTTCTGCACCCATCCACTTTTCCCCATGAAGGAAACGAGCTGGGATGTCCCACTGCTTCCACGATGTTTGACCAAACCTTCCCCATCTCTGCACCCATCCACTTTTCCTCATGAAGGAACCAAGCTGGGATGTCCCACTGCTTGCACAATGCTTGACCAAACCTTTCCTGTGTCCCTCTAGGTACCACGGGGAGAAACTGCCAACTTTCAGCAGGGTGAAGAAGCCCCGGCGAGACTCTCCCATCCTCATCTCCACCGTCTACGATGACCCTGACCCAAAAGACAGCGGGGACCATCTCCTCAGGCGCCAACCACCCACTGCCATGAAGTACAGGCAGGACATGCCGTTCGTCCGGGCATCACAGGGGGCTCTGGAAAGCACCAGGACCCAGCCCCGCTGAGCGGGGACTGTCACCCACCCTTTGTACTGGTTCTGCTCCCGTGGAGCACAGGCTGGCTCCTGGTCTCGAGCGTGGAGCTCGTATATTTATTTTTGGAAGAAATATAGACTTGTAAGAAAAATTTTCCACTGTTTTTTTTTTTTTGAACCATTCCAGCTTTCTGGGGTTGTTCAGCCTGGAGAAGAGGAGGCTCCGGGGAGACCTAATAGCAGCCTTCCAGTACCTGAAGGGAGCCTACAGGAAGGCTGGGGAGAACCTGTTTAGAAAGGCCTGTAGTGACAGGACGAGGGGCAATGGCTTCAAGCTGGAGGGGAACAGATTTAGACTGGAGATGAGGAGAGGGTTCTTCACTGGGAGGGTGGTGGAGCACTGGAACAGGTTGCCCAGGGAGGTGGTTGAGGCCCCTTCCCTGGAGATATTCAAGGAGAGGCTCGACGAGGCCCTGGGCAACCTGGTCTAGTTGGGGGTGTCCCTGCTGACTGCGGGGGGGTCGGACTAGATGGCCTTTGGAGGTCCCTTCCGACCTGGGCAATTCTATGATTCTATGATTTCTGCTCCTGTTTTTTCAGTGGGGACGGGGAAGGGTGTTGCTTTTCCCACTGGCTGTTTAAAACCTGAATCAACCCAGCCGGTGTTGAAAAAAAATAATAAAAAAAATCCCAATTTATACTTTATGGCTGCCTGAGAGCCAGGGGAAGGACAAGTATAGACAGGGCCAGCTGTGGCAGGGGTAACTGTCCCCACGAAAAGCTCTCTGCTGGCCCTGCAGCTTTGCCCTGGTTTGGGGCGTGACGATCCCACACTCCTGGGAGAGAAACTCAAAAAAGACTCATCCTGGCAGGCCTGGGGAGGAATTCTGCGGGGGGAGGCGTTTCCCCCTGCGGTCGGGTGTTAGCGGGGCGTGCTCTGTGTCGTTTTCCTGATGTAGGCACTCTTTTTTTTGGAGGAGGGGGGGGAAGGAGGGGGCAGAACCCTTTGTCCCGGTGACCCAGTACTGGAGGGTGAAATGGGAACTGGTGGATTAAGGCGGGGGGTTGGAATCTAGGGAATAATTCCCCTTTTTTTGGGAGATGGATCATGGGGTCGCGCTGGAGGGGAAAGGGCCGGGGCCGGGATTCGAACCCGGGACCCGAACCCCGATTCCGGGG